CTTCCGGTAGCAATATAACTGGTTGTACGCGAGGTAATAACCTTACGTGCTTTACCTTTGCCAATTCGGTAGCCGGTTTCATCCCAATTGAAGATCTCGTGTGGAAGAAATTGGTGATGCTTCATAACCTGGGTAAGGTTATTAAACCAAAGAAGCAAGGCGCCGTAATCCTCACTATCAACCCTCGATTTCTCCTTTGGATGTTGGGTGATATAGTTGAATCCAGGGAGTAGTCTTGTGATGAAGCGATAGGCCCAATTGTGGCCGACAACCCGATCTTCACCAGCCTTCTTTAGAATGGCATTTGCAGCACCCTCAACCATCTCTGCGGTAGGTGATGTATACGCACTATCTAGGGATTGAACCCAGCTAGTGAGCGCCTTTTCTTGAATTGAATTTAGGGACCTGGTTATTGTGGCACGATCGGTATAGGACTGACGGCCATGAATCCTAGCCCTAAGCCGATGGTATGGTACGTCAAATTCCCGCGCTAGCTGGGCGATATTAGGCTTGTTAGCCTGGGAGAAGGCTTTGAATGCAAGCTGGATTTGGGTTTCCATTTTTTTGGTTCGGTCTGACATCGTGGTGTGGTGTAAAATAGGTACAAAAGTGATGATAAATTGGAAATTTTGCGTTTGGTGGGGCGCACCAACTACCCAGGATGGGTGTGGTTGGGCGCTTGGCACGGTTACTGGAAGGTGAAGGAATTTGAAAGGCGGGGCCGGGCCCGCGCCACAAGGGCTCCCCGGATCTCGCGGAGGCTGGAACAGGAATATTGTTTGGCCGAGCTGGAATTTTGTCAACAGTCCTTTTCATCCATAAACCGTATCCTATTCAACGTGTAATGAGTCCATCTCCTCTTCGCAGCAAATAAAAACCTAATGCTAAATATATTCCTCGATGACAGTGTGGGGCCAATGTACCCGTACGTATAAGGGATGGCCTTGCTGTCCCTATATCACATTGTGGCTGGAAAAGACCAAGGCGGTGAAGAGTGTATCGTACCGCCTTCTTTCGAAGGGGGAGCCTCAGGAGATGCCTCCCACCGAAATTCATCTAATTGCCTTAAGCCAAAGAACACCTTGACCATATTGGGCAAGCACGACAGAACAGTGCACATCGTTGTATAGGGTGTTCTCTTAGATCAATCAACCAGCTCTCGCGATGACATGTCACGGGGCCACCCTGCCACTCCTCCGGGGTAACACAACTTTGGAGTCAGCGCTGGAGCAAGAAGACGACATTCTCCTTGAACTGGGATTTCCAGAACAGCGCATTGATATCTTTGTGTCACTGTACAGCAAGCGTGATGATATCGAGAATGTCGCATCATATCATCTAGGTCTCGGTCCTTCAGAAACTTGCCGGATTGGAGGCGTCAACGAATGGGTCCACGGCAGCTTCAATGTTTGCATTCCGCTCTATGTCAGCAAACAAGGTCAGCATCCGAATAAGCAAGCTCTTATCAGGTTCCCTTTACCCTACAAAATTGGAGAAACTAGGAATCCCGGCAATGTTGATGAAAAACTTCGCTGCGAAGCTGCAACGTTTATCTGGATACATGAGAATTGTCCGGAAATACCTATTCCACAGCTATGGGGGTTTGGACTTGTTGGTGGCCAAAGTGTATAGAAGCTCAATTGATATCGTTCTTGATTATATGATGTCTAACGTGTGGTGTGGTTTATGCAGTTTACGAAACCGCAGAATACCCCTTTAGGCCCCAGATATCTTTGGTCAATCAAAAGATTTATTATGTGGCTCTTGGGGTGTTCCCTGCCCTGCCCCTATATTTGCCATCAACGTTCGATTATGCTCGAAAGTGGGTACTTGGTTATGGATTATATTGGCAACTCAGATGTGCAAATGCTTTCAGAGACTTGGGACGAATACCGCCATCAACGGGATAAGAGAACGAACCTTTTCAAGGGACTTTCTCGCATTATGCTCTCTTTAAGTCGGGTGCCGCTACCTCGCATAGGATCTTGGACCTTGGACTCGAATGGAGCTTTGCGACTTTCTAATCGACCTCTCACTCTTCGACTCCATCAATTAGAGAACGGGGGGATTTCGACTAACATTGGTCGAAGTTTGACCTACTCGGCAGCGGAAGCATACTATCTTGATCTTCTATCTTGTCATGATAGTCGTATACGGAACCAGCCAAACTCCGTCAGCGATGCGGATGATGGCCGGGCTCAGATGGCAAGGTTAACGATGATGAAAGCACTCATACCTCATTTCTCTAAAAGAGAACATCGAGAAGGACCTTTCTTTTACAGGCTCACAGATCTCCATCCTAGTAATATCTTCGTTGACAGCCAATGGAACGTTAAGTTTGTGATTGACCTCGAATGGGCCTGTTCACTACCAGCCGAAACTTTGCATCCTCCATACTGGTTGACCGGTCGTTCAGTCGATGAATTAACAGGAGAGCACCTTGAAGAATTCAGAGAGGCGTACGAAGAGTTCGTGGGTATTTTTGAGGAGGAAGAAAAACTCTTTCCTCCTATCAACAATGTCTATTCTTATAGGACCACTCTTATGAGAAATGGTTGGCAAGTCGGAAACTTTTGGTATTTTCATGCCTTGGACAGCCCGAAGGGCTTATTTAACCTCTTCCGTCAACATGTTTATCCGATTTTTGCACCTTCACATCAGATTGCTTCCGAGTTTTCGCGGCTTGTATCGGACTTCTGGGCCCCCGATGTTGAGGAAGTCATACTTGCCAAGCTCCGAGATAAGGAGGAGTATGACAGGTCACTTTGTCAATTGTTTGATGATGCTTCGGACTGTACCCGAGACGGAGCTTTGGTGCATTGAAAAACAGTTTGGATGATTTCATCTCGACAAGGATCATGTACCAGGCACTCAATACTCGGAGGCAAATAATTAATCACCGAGCTCCGCCTCCTGCGTTGCTTCCGATGCGACTAGTCGAAGCTGCCTGCTCGCATGAGAACTGCCCGATCTTGCACGATTTCAAAAGTTGCTGAATTTTCACAAATATTTTTCCTGTTTTCTCATGGCAGTAGGATCAAGCAACTTTAATGTGATGGCCTGTCCAGATGGAAGATCCAATTAGGCTTTTTGAAGATCGAGTCGGTAAACTCGGCATGAGAAATGTGTATAGCATTGTAAATCAGGTGAAAGACGCATATCCTTCAGTTAATTGGCGGGCACGAGTTTTCCCTCCCCCTGAGGATCCTGATTCTTTTAGGGGCAAAACCGATTTCGGGTTCTGTACTCTTTGCTTGGCTACCAGCTGCTGCACTATCCCGCATGCGACAAGGTTGAGCACTAGTGCCCACTCTATCAAAAATTCAGTTATGGGGTGAAAGAGATATTTGATCAGCTTGAGAGTCGATAATCAGTATAGTGAGTGGATAAGCCTTAGAAGATTTAGAATGGAAGGAACTGTAGTGCTTTATTATCAGGTAGCATTATGTAGCTAAACCACATGATCCATAGATATCATCAACTGCTGAGATAACCTCGAGAATATACTCCTTCCTCTATCGCTAATTAGCTGTGCTGTAATAATGTATTCTTTATTCAGCAGGTCTAAATGCAGCAAGTATTCAAGTAACAACAGAATAACAAATTAAATGGAACAAGGACACAATCAGCAAGGCTGTTAGACAGCTCTAGACCTTTCGATCAAACGCTGTGACCGACGAAGCGTTGACGTAATAACCTCGTGAGTTTCTTTCGACGTGATAGTTTTGTCTATTGACCCAGAGTGTCTGCCTTTTGGGACCTGTCAACAAAAGCTTTGTACATGACTTTAGGTTCAGCTTACCAGCGTAAGACGTTTGAAGCGGGTTAGCCTCCATGTCGTAGTAATAAGCTTGCATACCAAAACTGCCGGTAATATCCAGTAACCAGGACTTCGACCTCTATCAATTTATGATACCCGCTTTTCCACTACACCTACATTGCCTCAAGAGACACAGCCAGATGGCAATACGTCATGGAGCTCACTGTCTGAGTCTCTTTTAACTACCAATTACTGCAAAGTGACTTTCGAAGATTATCAAAACAAGCTAATAGTGTGTGAGCTGGCATGCATTCAGGACGAATGAGATCAAGTGAACCAATTCAGGATGAAACGATTGACTGAATAGGAAGACATGCAGTCAAGGGCATGCTGAATTACCCATGGGCTATGCGTCGATAATCGGTAGTAACAACAATGTTTACAACCGCAACCAGTCATTTCATTGACTTCTACCGACGTCAGATCTGGGCGAAACAAGGTTAGGAAGAACTGACCGAACCTTTGTTGAAGTCAAGACGGTCAACATTTGCACTATTTTTTCTAACAGATGCCTGTGAAGTTCCTACAAGTGTTGCCATTTCACAAGCATTTAAGGTGTGAATTCCAGATGTTCTCGCAAAATATCAATTTAGAAATCTAACGTTAGCCTATACTCCGTGTCGAAGTGTCAAGGCTGGTGTTCATAAGCGACGCTGCTTGTGGTTGGCAATGAATTCCTCCTTTGACATATTCCCGCTGTCGACGAGCGCCTTGCTCTTTTCGATCTCCTCCAAGGCTTCCTCATACATATCCATCTCCTTCACCTTCCGCGCCGCGAATTCCTCAAGTTCTTTTGGGTTGTCAAATTCCATCCCACACCTTGCCCACTCAGTTGGCCCCAGATGTGTACGCAACTGCGTAAAAGGAAAGCTATGTTCGTCGTTGAAACCAGATGAGAGAAGCATATGCAACCACATAGCTCCGGAGGCTTGCGACCACTTGACGAGACTAGAGAGCTCTCTCTCTTCGTGCCCTTGCATCTTTGTCTCTTCCTCCTCCAAGATACGTATATAACCCTCTAAGTATCTGAAGTACCGGTACCCAATCTTGGGCAGCTCTTCGCCCTCGCAATCCCACGTGCTGTTGACGGGCCTGTCTTGGAGAAGCCACCACGGTGCCGAGCCAAACAGTTGGGCGGGTCCGATGTATGACCACTCAAGGTCCACTAATCCAACAATAGTAAGATCTTCCGTGCCACGGACGATCAGATTTGCCAAGCCGAGGTCGTCACAGATTAGTTTAAACTTGCAACGGTCATACTTTGCGTTGATAAATTCAGGTATAAGACTCTCTACAACTTTGAACGCGATATATTTGTTTTGAGCATCATAGAAACCAACAGTTGAGTTTGGTTGATGAACGAGCTGCTTCCAATCTTGTCCGGCGACGTATCGAAAATACTCGGTTGTTGTAGCAAATCCTTTGGCTCGGTCACCTAGATATTATTTGCTTAGTCAGGGTACTATATGAGAGCTATAGGTATAAAAAGGGAAAAGGATGATGATAATGCGTACCGAAAGTATTGACTCCTCCATCTTGTATGATAGTTTGTACCTTGAATGTTAACGGTCGTGGTAGCGTAGGGCTGTGACCTTCGGTCTGTGGCAATGGCAGGCTGCTGATTCGATCGAAATCCAGTTTAAAAAGCTGAAGCAGGAAATTGGCCAACTCTCTGTAGATAACCTCAATATCACTATCGCTGATATCGTCCCTCATGACTCTGCTAGGTCGCTCGGCGTTAGGGTCCTGGAGAAGACTGCTAAGGCTCACACCGTTTATGAAGTCCATCATGATAAAAGGGCCTAGACCAAGACTGTTGCTGGTAGCGGGACCCCAAGCCCGAACTGTTGGGACGGGAATGGGCAGTCGTGTTGCGAATGAGATTTAGGGCCGACACCTCCATAGCAACCTTCTCATCTGTGTAGTCTTCACAGACCATCCCAAAACGAGGGAAACGAACCATCCAGGCCGTGCTGTCAGTGAAGACCATCTTCATGCCGGCGTTAAACGCGCCATGATGAAAGGTACCGTCAAGCACACAAGGAAGGTTATCTGGATGGAAAGTCGACACCCACTGGCAAAGACGGCCTGTCATGTGGGCCTCATTCACCTTGTCAACCCAAAGTTGGCCCTGCGCCACGTGGACGAGATCGAGAAGCGCGTTGGTGTCCATAAAGTTAACGTAAGCTTTAATGGTGGGGGATGAGTGCTTGGTAGGGTCCGACTTCGGTGAGTGAGCTGGTCGAGAAACGAGCGAGATGGACGAAGGGGCTATGCTTCGTTTTTATATCGGTCGTGTATGAGCTTGTGTGCCTTAGGCGTCAACAGCATGTTCTTGGCGCGGCATTTATCAGGTATTTTGAACTATCCCATCTCTTCCCTCTTCAACATGGACCTTCTAGTAGCCTTGGAGACAATACGCAATGCATCTGATACCGATCTTCACTCGCATGCAACACAGACCATTCTGACGCTTAGGAGAGTCGGTCAACGTCTTCAGCACGACCTAATACCCTCGATACCTGGTTTTCAGGCGACTCTTACATGATGAACATTTTGGTAGAGTAGAATTTAGTCAAGAAAGTGGTGGGGTGGGTTATCTATTTCGGTAGCGGATGGTAAGTGGGGCAAAACCACGATTTTGACCTTGGGTTACTTATAAAGGTTTGCTATTTCCCACCCAGATCTCTAAAGAGTCCAAGATGACATCCAGAGAAAACAGTACCGACAAAAAGGGCCCCCATAATCGGGAATCTGTTTTCCTGAGGTCTAAAAACGAACCTCGTTTCAAGAGGCCGTTGGTTGATCTTGAACATGTCGTCCAAGGAACCAAAGAAAGTGCTCAAAAACTTCAAAAGCAGCGACAGGACACTTTCACTGCTTTGTCTAAGATAGCCTGCAATCCATGGGACCGATATCGAAAAAACTTCAAAATCAACCAGGCAGGCCCTGGGTGGGTTATTCATACAAACGACGCCACTTTTACAGAGGGGATCATCAAAGAAGTAAAGACTACGAAAAGCGAGTTATCCAGGATAATAACAAGTCACCATAAGAACTTTGTTGATCTTCGAGAGGCAATCTATTACGAGGGTGCGGTATTTCTTATTTATGAAATTATGGATGTTTCCTTGGCTCAAGTATTCAGCTCACCGCTTGGCCGTCTTCAGCTTTTTGAAGTAGCGGCCTTTGCGCGCGAGCTGTTAACAGGCATTGAGTATATGCATATAAACCTCAAGATCACTCACGGAGCCCTGTCATCAAATTCAGTCCTTCTATCAGTAACGGGCGCGGTCAAGATAGGTATGTTTGTGACAAAAGCCGTGGGTAAAAGCGAGACTAAAAGGTTCCAGCGAACCTAGGAACCGCTATGATTGAGAACAACGACGCCACAAAGGACGAGCGTGATGTTGAGGCTGTTGGGATGATTATCATCGAATGTCTTGAGCCGAGTACATTTTTACGCAAGGGCGTATCGTTTGTCTCTAGTTGGGGATCTGATGTTTCAAACTTTGTTGAATCTGTTTAACGAAATACAGCGTACTTTTCCACTAGACCATAACAAAAACCAAGGTTCCTGTTTATGGCCTAGGGAGGCCGTATTTGAGGTTTGACAGAATCCACAAAATCTCAATCCGCCACAGAAATGCTGAAGGTATGTATTTCCTACATCACATCGAATTAATCTAATCGTTATAGCATGACTTTTTGCAGCTCTTCCCAGGGCCATCTTGCCTTAAGTCATATATTCGCTTTGCGCGGGAGACGGCGGCGAAGGAAGTAGAAGTTGTCACAAATTGACGACGCGGCTGAGCCTCTTCATAGAACCAGATAACTGATTCAACTTCAAGTTCGGGTTTGTTTAACGTCACCCCCTGTCGTAAGATGGGGCTTACACACTCATACAACGTCAAGCAATAGTTCAAGATATCTTGGCTGCTTCCAATGATGTCGCCTCAGTTAGGCGAGCATGGGAGACGAACATTCCGCGAAACATGGACATAAATTACAAACAGTTGAAATTTGTTCTTCATCCTGACAGATTCCACAAGACACAGGACAAAGAACGGGCCAATTCGGCGTTTAAGAGTGAGATAACAAATGAATGACATAAAGAAAATTGGCTAACCGAGTGGTAGGAGTACAGTGGGCCGAAAACGAGGCTTCGAGACTCTTTCCGGGTGAGGTTGATAGGGGTCAGAATTTCTTCCACGGAGGCCCTTCAGCTAAGGAGAATGTTCAAGGAGAACTATCCGAATATCATAGGAAGGCTCATAAGGAAGCAACTCCCTTTTTGGAAGAACTATATCTTGGGGTCCAAAAACACCCACGTGACAACCCTTTGGCAGCTGGCTGCGCGAAGGAAATTGCATTACCAGCTGCGCTTATCAACATTATCAATGTTAAAATAAAAAAGGAGAACTCCAAGAAACAGAAAGATCCCGATCTTGGTATCATCCGCTATGAACAAATGATGGGATTATGGAGAACATCGATCGCGGACCCATCTATGGCTCCATTCCAGGCCCAAACCCTCATATTGTTTTGTGAAAAATTTGCCTATCCAAGTCAATAGGCCAACCTCAAGGCAGGCGACCTAGGGGGTGATACGAAGCCAGCTCAAGCATCACCACAAGCTCCACAGGCACAAACACAAGCATCGCAGGCACAAGCACTGCAAGCGGCGCAGGTACAGGCACAGGGACAAGCACAAACGCCCCAGAGACAAGCACAACCATCGAGCGCGACAGCCCTTCAGCTACATCATCGATATGCTGGGGGTCGGATCCGCACAATCTCGTTAACACCTCAAAGGGTTATACGTTCAATAAATCCTGGGTATACATCAACTGGCGAGAAGATTCGCATGATTCAGCCTCTTGGAAAACTGATGGGTGCACGCTTTGTGATTGAGAATGCGAGTGGAAAGATACGCCTTGTATCAAGTGCAGCTGCTGGTGGCCAGCTAGCTATCGATGGAGCCAGATCAACCGGCGTTCCCGATACCCTCCGTATGGAGAAGGATATACACGAACTTCAGAATTTCATTAGGAATATGGCTGGAGGGACATACGGGGTCAATTGGGTAGCCATTGGGGAGGTGGACGCTAGCCATAACAAGTCCCCGTATATGGTTGTCGGCTTTTATTTTGAAGGTCCCGGTGGAAACCCTCCGCAACAAGAATATGGTATCTCGCGATCAGCCCTCAAGAAAATTTTGTCGTCGAAGGCAGCAGACAGACTCATATCGGAGGCAATTACTTATGATCCTGATATGGCCTTACAAGATGCTATTTCTTCTCTTTCTGGTCTCACTTTAAGATCTGGGACGGCGCCATCCCACCCTTCTGGAGGAAGCAACAACTATTGGAATCCAATGCTTAGTCCTGCGTCCCACATGGCTCAGCTAGCACTTTTGCAACAGCCAGGATATCAGAATCTACTTGGCCATGGTTCATCCAACAGTCAGCCATTGTATGAAAAGCAGCAGCTGATTCAGCCATCATTCATGCCACAGCCAGGCGCGCAGCATCTAGGAGCGCAACAGCAACTGATTCAGCCATCGTTTATGCAACAGCCGGTCACGCAGCATTTGGGGATGCAACCGTATAGTGAGGATATAGAGGAAGAACTTTAGATAGACTCAACCAGGTGAATTAATGGGTACTTTTGGATAATCTCTAGGAGCTATTACAGGGACAGAGAGCTAGATAGTTAGATACGTAGCCCAAATTGAACCGTGATCAAATTAATCCCTCGTCGTGGTATAGAGGAGACCAAGAGCGATGTGTAGAAACGTAAGATAGCGAGCGGGTCTAGTGTTCCGAAATTATTGAAGGTAGGTGCTGCGCTATTGAGCATGGTTGGCATGAGAAAGAATTTGATGAAGCGATTGAAAATGGAAAAGTCCCTGAAAGTCCGTTATAGGTAGCAATCTCCTGGGTCCTCAGCCTTCTATGCGATTGCGATCATCATTGGATATTTTAAAGTACCACGGTTCCCCGTTACTTCTAGACTAGCGTTAGATAATCATGATCCTTAGAAATCCTATATCCCACGAAAGACCACGGTTCTACTCCATCGTCATTCTCTTTACACACGATTTACGAAATGGCGTTTAATGATCTTGAGACTTCTCATCGCTTGGCTGCAGCCCGTATAGGCTCCTTTAGAGTCTTCGGATTGAACCATGTTACTTTCGAAGGGAACGATGTATGTGGATCTCAAGCTTTTAGGAAATCTAGAGTCGACAGTATCATCCACAGATTCGAGCAGGAGGGATGTCGTCGACTCGATCCACTGACTTGGATTCCGTGTGAAGTGTCAGGGACAGACCTACAACCATTAGTGGAGGCTAACTCTGGATACTTTCAAGATTTACAGCTACTAGGTGATTTGAATCTTCACTGTTTCCAAGGCCAACACCGCATTGCTGCTGCACTTCAGTGGCTTGACCCAAATGACCATTGGTGGAATTTTGATATATACGACTCCGAGAAATTGAATGATGACTGTCGTAGGAGACTTCGTGAATTTGATCAAAGCTCTCAAACCTTTGGTGATGGGGATATATTTCGCAATATCCGACAATATCAACGGTGTGGAAAAGCAAAAGCTGCTAGAGAGTGGCTTGCAAAATGGTCTCCTACGAAGTGCCGCGAATTTAACCGGATTTACTCTCCTAAAGCCAGTAGAGCTGCGTTTACTTCTTTGGGAGAAAAGCTAGACTTACTACTTCCATTCTGGGCACTTTGGATATCCTGGTTTATATGGACTCATCTCCCGAGCCTAAAATGCCCCGAGGTAAGAAAGTCACCCCTATCTTCTTATCTATAAAGCTTGACTAACGTCTCTGTAGGAGCTGGCGGATTCACTGTCAGAGATACATCAGGCGTGGCAGTCGCTGACTTGCCAATCTCCGGAGAGTTTAGACTCAACGACACTTTCATTGTTAGAGGGTCGATGCCCATGCTTATCCCTTGCAGATCGGGAGCATATTGAAGAAATATTCCGCGATGGAAGGGCATTTCCGGATATTTCCGACCCTGATATACGCACGCGGCTTCGGCATGCCGCCTTGGGGTATCCGAAAATTATACCATCCCTTCGCAATTTCCTTGAAAATACCAAATATCTCAAGGCAATGACCGACGTCATGAAAAGGATAATGCCTCCGAACTTCAAAGGCACCATACGGGAGTATATGTCTAAATACTATGTTTCCCCTGGGCTGCGGCACCAAATTCAAACTTCTGAAAACGACTTCAGCCAGGAAGAATCAATCAATCAATCAATCAATCAAAGTTCAATTAACCTGTTGCAGTCTAACTAGTTGCGTATGACTATGCAGGCGCTTCTCCAACCGAAGCAAGAACTCGAGACCCAACGCCGAGCGGGATCGCTCCCAGAGTATACAGATGATGCCGAAGTGAGTAGTGCAGAATCAGCCCATTCCCGTAACCCGTTCAACCCATACTTTCTTCTCCGATCAGAAGTACCTGTTCTTGCATAATGTATATGCAAATGACCAGCCTGCGCGCGAAAATATGACGTCATTTGCCGTGAAGCGGGATATTTTCAGGTCATTCTTCCTGGACTTTGATGATGGGAGTCGTATGGACGTGACACCCGCCCCAATGAATCCAGCTCCAACGATTCCAACTCCAACGATTCCAGCTCCAACGATTCCAGCTCCAGCAAATCCAGCCCCAGTAAATCCCGCACTTATGGATCTCGATAACGTAACGACGACCCCTGGAGCAAACCTGCAACTGCCAAACACTGAGCCATCAAATCAAAATGAACCAATAATCATCACATATCAGTCGACAGCAGAATGTCAGTGTCGGGTCAATATGAGCCCTGATGCCTTTTATTCGTCCTGTCAGCCATTTGTGAGGGAAAATCCATGTGTGATATTGTTCGACATATCGTCCAATATGGTGTACATCATCCGACAATACGATGATACTATGCTAGCCAACTTATGTACTGATAATGGTCGGTGGCTTGCACGTGTTCATTCGATTACACTCGCTTTTCAGACACTCACTTTAGGTGAAGTCAGGGAGTATTGTCGAGCAGGTTCATGTATTAGATTCTCTGGAATAGGTGATTTTAGCAGCACGCTCGCACCAGTAGCTGCAGAGAGCATTTCGTTCCCGAAGTTCCAGTCGAACGAAAATCAATGGATTGTGTGAAAATAGTTAAATGCAACTTGCAAATTAAAGAAAAATCTTGTGATACCTGAACAATGCCAGTGTCAAGCTGATATGAGCCCTAACACATTTTATTCATCCTACCCGTCATTCCTGAGTGGCAATCCGCACGTTATCTCGTTTAACATCTTGGACAGGACGGTTCATTTCATACGACACCATAGTAACGACATACTAGCCAATTTGTGTAGTGATAATCGGTGGTCTCGCTTTAGGCCAAGTGAGACAATCTATTTCACGGGATAGGAAATTTCAGCTCTACACTCACCCCGGTGGCTACCGAGGGCCTTTCAGTACCAAAGTTGAACAGAGATCAGTGGATAGTATGAAACGGTTAATATAATTCACACAATCAAATTCACATAATCAAAGATAAATCTTCTGATACCTGGCCAGATGGCTCTTATAACCAGGAAGAGACATACAAACACTCAAACAATCAGGAATATCACATTGGCGACCCGGGCTTTCAAAAAGGTCCGGCAGGTGATGACCTTTAAAATGAACCTGAAGTACATCCTTTCGTGAGTACTTATATCGCCTAGCGGTAGGATCCAAACCTGTATTCCCGAGACACACAGGACATTCCAACCCAGATAAGCTTTCCATTGGGACCACTACTTGTCTCGATGCTTCCTTCGGTCCACCTTTGAACACTATTCGCTTTTTCAAGGCCTTGGGCATATGAAGGCTGTTTAGTTTCAGTCGTAGCTCGAGAGATCGAATGCGGTCTTCAATCAATTCTATGTCATCGATGGTATCGACATCCCTATTCTTGAATTCAAGCTCGGCAAGGGCAATTCTCTCCGGCTGAATATGACTGACGTCTGGAATGAAAGTGACCGGAGTACCTTGATGGTTTTGATCAATGATCTGGTTTCCAATACTATTGAAGAATTCCTTCCGGGCTTCCTTTTGAGCGCGGCGTTCTAGTTTTTTTCGTCTCGTCCGGATCTTGTTGCAGTTCCTTCATTTCAGTGAACCGCATGTCTGACGCTTC